GTAGATCTAAATGCGGACGAGCTGACAGAAACGTTAGTGAGAGCATGTGACACGACCATGCCGAGGAAACTGGAGCCAAATAACAGACGGCGTCCAGTCTACTGGTGGAACGAGGCACTTAGTACTCTCCACGCTAGTTGTCTCAGAGCCAGAAGACGTGTTCAGAGAGCAAGAACGGAAGCAGACAGAGAGGAACGAAGAGAAGTGTTTCGAGCGGCCAGGGCCGCTTTTAAACGAGTGATTAAGCAGAGCAAGTCGAACTGTTTTAAGGAGCTGTGTCAAGACGCTGATGCCAACCCCTGGGGCGACGCATACCGAGTCGTGATGGCGAAGATCAGAGGTCCAACGATGCCCGCTGAAATGTGCCCAGAGAAGCTGAAAGTCATCGTGGAAGGACTTTTCCCGAAGCACGACCCAACAACCTGGCCACCTACACCGTACGGAGAAAGAGAGGGAGATAACGTCGAAATCACCAACGAGGAGCTCGTAGTAGTGGCGAAAGGATTGAAGGTGAAGAAAGCTCCCGGTCCGGATGGAATCCCCAACGTAGCGTTGAAAGCGGCGATCCAGTCATCCCCGGACATGTTCAGGATGGTGCTGCAGAAATGCCTGAACGAGGGTCACTTCCCTGACAGGTGGAAGATACAGAAGCTAGTGTTGCTGCCGAAACCAGGAAAACCGCCGGGGGATCCAGCATCATACAGGCCTATATGCCTGCTGGATACACTCGGAAAACTCTTGGAGAGGATCATCCTAAACAGGCTGACGAAATACACGGAGAGTGAGCACGGATTGTCGGAGAGGCAGTTCGGATTCCGGAAAGGGAGATCGACGGTGGATGCAATTCGGACAGTGGTCGAGAGAGCTGAAAAGGCGTCCAAACAGAAGCGGAGAGGAGATCGATATTGCGCCGTCATAACGATCGACGTCAAGAATGCGTTCAACAGCGCCAGCTGGGAGGCCATCGCCGAAGCACTGCATAGAATGAGGGTCCCTGACTACCTGTGCAGGATCCTGAGGAGTTATTTCCAGAACCGGGTTCTGGTCTACGAGACAGACATGGGACAGAGATCGATTAGGATCACAGCGGGAGTTCCACAAGGCTCCATCCTTGGTCCAACGCTCTGGAACGGGATGTACAACGGCGTGCTAACGCTGAAACTGCCCAAAGGAGTTGAGATCGTTGGCTTTGCGGACGACGTCGTCTTGACGGTAACAGGCGAGACGCTGGAAGAGGTGGAAGTGTTGTCAACCGAGGCAATCGACATGATTGGTAACTGGATGAAAGGAGCGAAGCTGCAAATAGCCCACCACAAAACGGAAGTGTTATTGGTCAGTAACTGTAAAGCGGTACAGCGGGCAGAAATCACCGTCGGGGAGCACACCATAGCCTCGAAGCGTGTGTTAAAATACCTGGGAGTGATGGTCGATGACCGGCTAAACTTCAACAGCCACGTCGAATATGCCTGTGAGAAGGCTTCGAAGGCCATCAACGCGATAGCTAGAATCATGCCGAACAACGCTGGTCCCAGCAGTAGCAAGAGGCGTCTTCTGGCCAGCGTGTCATCATCGATACTGAGATATGGAGGTTCAGCCTGGGTTCCAGCGCTGGAAACGAAGCAGAACCAAAGGAAACTGAGCAGTACGTTCCGGCTCATGGCCATGCGAGTCGTGAGTGCGTACAGAACCATCTCGTCGGAAGCAGTATGCGTTATCGCCGGTATGATCCCTATCGGCATCACCCTGGTGGAGGACAGCGAGTGCTACAGGCAGAGAGAAGCCGGAAGAGTACGGAAAGTTGTGAGAGTGGAGTCAGTGGCAACAGGAGTGGAACACGACGGAGAACGGTAGATGGACACATAGAATAATACCGATTCTTTCGACCTGGGTGAACAGAAAACACGGAGAAGTCAATTTCCACCTAACGCAGTTCCTGTCTGGCCACGGCTGCTTCAGGAAATACCTGCATCGGTTTGGACACGCAGCGTCACCCCTCTGTCCGGAGTGTGGCAACGTCGATGAAACGCCGGAGCATGTGGTCTTTGACTGTCCAAGGTTCGAGGCAGTGCGAACGGAGATGCCCGTCCTTAACGTGGAGAATGTCGTTGATGAAATGTGTCGAGAGGAGGACTCTTGGAATGCCGTGAGCAGGGCAGTCACGCAGATTATGTCAGAGCTGCATCGTAAATGGAGAGAAGAGCAGCGATCTAGCAACGCCAGCTAGCGCTGAGAGTACGACAAGTGCATGAGCACAGCCACCCCCCGAAGTAGTCGCTTGACAGTGGTCCCGGGGGGATCCAGGCAGAGTAGAGAGTAAGGAATGGGTTTTAGTGGAGCTGCACTAGGCAACTAGTGGATACCACACCGTGCCACCTTCACTACAGGCCAGGCTTCTTGAAGCTTTCCTAAACCTGACTATAAAAAAAAAAAAAAAAAACACACACACACACAAACACACACGCACACACACACACACACACACACACACACACACACACAC